TCAGCCCCGACCAGCCTTCCCCTTTGTGGCCTCTCCCCTACACACCTCTGGCCGTCGCCTCGCCCCCGCGACAGCCTCAAAGCTTACCTGTCATCCTGCTTGGCCCCGCCTTCTGACACCGTCCTCTCCATCCTTTGGTAGCGTCGTGGAAGCCATCAGCCTCGCCCCCTGCTGGCCAGCTCCCTGGGTCCGATGCCCCGTGGCACCAAAGGCCACCTGGCATGGGAGGCACCGTTCGTTACGTGAAACGAACGTCACCTGGACCGTAGTTGGGATTGTTGTAAATGAGGAAATCGGGTCTGCCTGGATCAGAAAGCAGATACTGGCAAAACTGGGACCCGGACAGGGAAAGTGAGTCTGTAGAAAAGACTTGAGTCTACTCTTTCGTTTAACAGATGGGGTAATTGAGGTCCTTTGCCTTAAGCCAATTTTAAGGGTAGAAGGTAGTATTGCAGTAAACCAATTGGCATAGGCAAGAGTTAGGAATGTAGAAATGGTTCCTTGAGTTTAGCAAAAAGAAACCAAATGTTTAAAACCTTCCTTTTAGGCAGATCGTTTCCATTTCCAACAAATGTTACTAAACATTCGACGTATACTCAGAGTTTGCAACTAGCTGTCGTAAAAGGTGAAGGAAAGTAAGGCTACCCACGGAAATCAGATGCAAAATGAACCAAATTAATAGCTTATTATATGTTGCAAGGGCTGTGATTTAACGAGTAATCCAGAGAACAAGTGAGGCAACTTGATGCAAACATTTAAACTTCTTGAACTTCACATTTCCCATGTGTAAACTACAAAACATCTGGGCCAATTCTAGAAAAATAAATTTAAGATTCAGAACAAATGAAGTTGCCTTTTCACATAATCTAAATTGTTTAAGCGCCCTTTTGCACTTTCCAACATTTGCATTCTCATGATGAGAACAATTGATTATAGCTAGATTTAGCATACTCTTACTGTGTTCCAGCTCCTCTGCTAAGCCCTTTACAAAGGTACCTGGTCTGTGAAGTGGGTATGTTGTGATGAGGAAACTGAGGCACAGAGGACTCTAACTTTCAAGGTTACACAGCTAATAAACTGCTACAACCAGAATTTGAATCCACATAATCTGGCTCTAGGGCCTGCTTTAAAACCTGGCCCTGGGATGAGGTCTCCATAGACCTCTATGAGCTGGAGGAGGAGTATTACTCGTCTAGCTCAAGTCTTTGCGAAGCTAATGGTCTGCCTCTGTGTGAAGCTTACTGGAGGCTGGACCTCAACACAGACTCCACTGACAGCCTCTGAGGCCCTCTGCCGGCGTCCCCAGAGCCCAGTGCTGGCCCCCTGCAGGCTGCAGCCCCTGCCCACTCCCATGCCGGTGGCCCCGGCCCCACGGAGCACTCCTGAGCCTCCCAGGGCTCCCCTCCCCGGGCCTCTAGGGTCTTAGGAATGAAATCCAGTGCTCCCCTCTGGGCCCACCACAGCCTCAACTCCCTTCAGCCTTGGGGAGCCGCCATGGCCTCTTTGGGAACTGTTTCAGCCCAGGGACAGCCGACCTAGGAGTGTTGGGGGAAAGCAGTGCCCCCAACCATGCTGGGGTGGCCCATCCTTCCTCGAGTCGTCACCCCTTATATGCTACCTTCCTGGCTGGCTGGATGGAAGGAAGTTTCCAGGATAGTTTGTCCTGTTGAGGACCTAACAGCGGGGCAGGGTTGATGCCCAGCATTGGGAGACCTGACCTGAGCATGGTGTTTACAATGGCGGGGAGGATGGAAGTGCTCAGAGTGGACAGTACTAGCCAAGGCCAGGCCCCCATGCAGAGCTCTGCCCGCTACCTTGCCCTGAGGCTCTCTGCGCTAGCTGACTGCCCCTGCAGGGCTGTGGGGAAAAGGGGGCTGCCCACTCTTGCAGAAGTCAGGCAGGGTCCTTCCTAATTCCGCTGCTGCACACATTTTGGTTATTCTTGTAATGAGACTGTTGAATAAAACCAGCTCCTCCCTTTTGCAAAAAACCCAAAAAAACAAAAACAAAAAACCTGGCCCGGGTAATTTTGAATGTCCAGAAACAAATTCTAAATCTACCTTCAAACATGTCTATAAACAGTGTGATTTATAATAGATGGTTTGTAAAATTAGATTGAGAAGTTAATCTTGTCATATGATGCCAGGAATTTAGCATCCTGATTTTCAAGTTGGAAAGATCTAAAGTTATAGTATCTCTTTCGGATGTTCATTCTTGTCAGATGTATAAGCTGCTTTAAGTCTTTCATAGTGGCTGGGTGGCGTTTTGTTAAGCTTCAGGAACTAATAAGTCAAGACAATTTTGTTTCTATCTATGCTTTTATGTTGCTTGCTCAGAATTAACCTAAAGAGGGATGAGAAAATGTAAATTATAATGTTTTTGCTTGTGTTGCAGAGGTAAACAGCAAAGATCAGGATGAATTACAGTCAGTAGGCCAAACTTAGTTGTGCTGTAAGCCAACTCTCTCACTGTACAGCTGGTGTCATTTCATTGCATTGTCTTGAGAAAGACCTCTTCATCTCTTCAATGTCTCCTAGGATATTGGAGATTGTTCAGGGCCATTAAGTGCACTCACCGAACTGAATACTAAAGTGAAAGAGAAGTTTCAACAGTTGCGGCACAGAATACAGGTGAGTGTCTGCAGAGCTGGGATGCTGAAACTGGGTAACGATGAACGGGGCTTGGAACTGGGACTAACCTCTGCTCGAGAGCTGTCCAGGTCCTTCAGTAAATGTTCAGATGGGAGTAGTAAACGTTTAGACAGTGGAGGTAACTGTACTAACCTGCTATCCAGGTAAAGATGAGGGACTTCTGAATGTACAGCACTGCCAGCTATGTTACAGGTAGATAGTAGGGACACCATTGTCCTGGGAATTTTTCAACTTGAAAACTCTGAGGTCACTTGCATTACTTTCTTTTCTCTACCACTCTCTCCAACCCATCCACCTCAATCCATTACCAGTGTCCCCTGGTTTTTTTTTTCGTGCTGTCACTTTGCCCAGCCTCTTCCTCTCTGTTTCTGTAGTCTCCAGTCACATCATATGCATACGTAACAGTCCTGAATTCGACTAGGGTATATGTGCTGTCTCCAAAAACAATAGAATGAGAAAAGTAGCAGTCTGAATAGCATAGGTGTTGCTGTGCTGTGCCCTGAGTGAGGGTAGGATGGGTGGCATGGATCTGGCCATTCCTGTCTGGGTCTTGGGGCACCTGGTCTCGCTGCATATGGTTCTTGGATTTAAAGACTTGTGCTTTCTTTATGACATGGCCCCAAATGCCAGCCAATAACCCTGTTTTTGCTTACCAGAAGAAGACAGTCTGTCCCAAAGATGATAGAAAAACTGGCAGTTTGGACCCTGAAAAACTGGATGTCTGTGTCCTGTGCGTTGCTTGCTAAGGGATTTTCAAGGGCAATTTTGGCAATATGCAGTTTTTGTCAAAGCAGTTCACTTGAAGATATCAGCAATGTCACTGAACCTGGCTGATCTCTTTCCACCTCCATCTCTAGTGCTGATTTAATCACTTTAATTTTTTAATTTAGAAAGGCTGTTACTTTCACATGTTTTTTATATATGCGTATATGTGTGTAAATATTGGCAGGCAGGAAAAAGTGCAGTGAAAATCTTAGGTGTGCCTCCTTATTTGTTCTCTGTTCCCCTCCTCCAAATAGGTAACCACTCTTATATGTTACTTATGTATCTTTCCATAGTTTCTCTACTCAGATACTAAAAAAGACAAATGTTTTCTTATTTCTTTCCCATTTCTCATCTAAAAGGTAGCATATTAAAAATGGTATTTTAATACCATTTTTAAACTTAATGTGTATTGGAAATCTTTCCATGTCAGTATTGGGAAGCTTCCTCATTCTTTTTTTTTTTTTTTTTTTTTTTTTTTTTTTTTTTTTTTTTT